ACAAGATTAGCCGGATAAAGATTAGGAGGTTCCAGGGTAAAACATAAATCGATACCATATTAATCACGATTCGTATTAGACCCGATCAACTCACGAGCGAATCCGACTGCCTGAAAATTTCTTTTTCCTTACTTGTTCGGAATGATGAGCGGGGAATTCACATGAGCAACCATCAGCGAGTAGCTGGTCGTTGATTCATATTCACTCTATTGATCTTCTAATTCATTTTGGACGTTCTTCCAAAGCGGTAATTCATATTCTTCATTTTAAAATAATCTTGAGCTCAATAAAACTTTATGTTCCTCAATACATTGTTTTTTTTTTCTCCGCGCATTATTACTTGCGCTCCCGATCATCAAATCAAATAACGAAGAATATCTTTTTGACTAAGCCATTCTTTTACCGGTCACATTTCCTTATTCATTGTCATATGTTCTCATTATTCATTATCTTGTGTGAAGTTATCAATCATGACACATGAATCGTTCGATATTTTTTACGTGGGCTGATGGGTTGAGGGTGATTCAACTGTCGTGAACATTTTGCCTTATGTGAAATGTCGTCCAAAAGGGGGAGAAGGTGATATGGGATTGAGTGTGTGTGTGAAAGACACGTAAGAAGAACGTGAGAAGAAAATTATGTGATAACCGCATCTCACATTTATATCATATGTGATATCGAACATCGAGCCATTATTTTTATTTTATTTGTTTACAGTATTTGTGTGTCCAATGAAGACGTTCATTTGTTCTCTTTCTCTGCGTTTTCGGATACAATATATATTTCATATGCAGTATATTATATTTATCATCTTTTTATTTCTGTTGTGTGTGGGAAAGTCAAGGGTCAAGACATCGAGGTGTGCGCACACACAAGTTAACAAAGTGTGCGTACACACGCGCGCATGAATATAGCAATCCGGAAGATACATACCATAACCATCCTTCCTCTGACCACCAAATAACCTGATGTGAATTATTTTTTTCTCACGTTTCTTCGACTATATGGCAGGTGACTCTCACCTCATAGTCCTGGGATTACAGAACTTGTCACATTCCGGTGAACGCACTATTGACGAGTGAAGAGGATATTTTTTTACCCCGTCAACATGACAACACTTTTACGGTCACATTTTAGGAAATGAAGTAAGTTATTTAGCTATCACAGACGAATCAACAACGCATCAACCTTTATCAAGTATGAATCAAGTTTGAAAATTACATTCACAAAACTTAATGGAGAGTTGAGCCGAGATGACCCAATGAACTCCAATAATTAGGGTTTGAAGAACCCTTATCAGAAAGCTGACGAACGAATCACGGCAAGTCGTGAGATAACAGGTGAAAATCAAATAATTAATCCAAATCTTCAGGTCTAAACCCCTTCCGTTCCACATTATACAACGGCGCGTGTGAAAAAAAGGAAACAACAAGGAATGCCGCAAAATATAGAAAAGGTGTAACGAGTACAATATTAAATTGTCATTTTTTTTTTTTAATGAACGACGGGTTGGTTTGGGATCATGAAAGAACAAACGCTTAAAGAAACTGGTTCAAAAAAAGAAAACAGGCGACAATAAAAAAAAATTATTGGCAAAATTGTGTGATGAGAAGAAGGAATCGCACACCAATGACGATGTGGCACTCAAAAAGGGATTTAATTAAAGGAAATTCCCCAAAGAACAATTCTTTGACACCAATTACCGATGAAGAGAGG